AAACTGATGTTACAAGCATGCTTATAAATCATTCACAGACTAGGGTTATTAAACAAAAGATTTATAAATTGGTTCACATGTTGTAAATACAATGATCATAGATTTGATACTTGCTACTAATTTAAATTGAGTGTCATAAAGAGACTAATCTCCCTTTACTTGGGTTGACACAATCTTTCCATTACTTCAGGGTATGTCCCTTCCTCCCCATCAACACCAGGTGGTCAATTTGTACCAGCATGATGGAGAGCACTCAGTAATTGCTAGTATAGCAGATTAGCAAATTGTGCTTTAAACCTTGGAAACATTGTTGGAATGACAGCAAATATTTCTTTACCTGTGACTAGAGTTCCCTGCATTCAGAAGGACAATCTTTTCACTCCCACCTCACTTTCTGTTTTCTAGGTAACTCGTTAATTTTTTCCCTTTCCTCTCAATAAAGAAATCTGTAAGTGAACAAAAATCTTACAGAATATTTCAAAGCTTGTACTGAGGACAGTTCTACAGAAGACAGGGGGTCTAAGTTTCATATTTAACTAGTTCTATAAACTTTGAAGTCTTTTTACATTTTCTGAAGTTCATCTTCTTCAAACCTCTGCATTAGGAAAATTTTCCTACACTAATTAGTTGAAAAGATTAAGGAAAATTTGATAAAAGCCCCCAGGTATTTAGGCATAAGCTTGGTATTTCAGTTGCTTTCTCAACTTTTCTTTATGGACTTCAAATACCAGTCATTCTAGGGACATCAATATATTTTGTAACAAGTAGCTTGTTATGGGCATTCAAAATAGAGGTCAGTTATCAGTGAAATAGTATATGGGACATGGACTTTAAGTATGCATTAGTTCCAAGGAAAACATTAGTGTAAGCAAACACATCACTTTCCCCCACAGATAAACCTAATCTTGATCGGAGAGGACAGTACTATTCATTTTTGGAAATTCGTTTCCTGAAGTATTAAGGTTTCTGTTTCAACACATAAAGCAATGTATAAGTCTATGTAAATATTTGCCTGCCACCAGTATTAGAAGGGAAAAAAACATTATTTTCTAAGATCTTCAGTAAGAAGCTCCTGTAGATGTTTTCAATTTTTTCCTGTGATTTTTCTCCTGAAAAGCATCAACACTGGCAGAGGAGGGGATATCCAAGGGATAAACTTTGACATTTAATATATATTTTTCAAAGGTGAATTTGTAGAGAAGTTGCTGGGAAAAGCTCTCCTGGTTTCTTTAAAAGGATTAGTAGCAATGTTCTGAACTGAAATTCAGGTCTTGTGATTCCTATCCAAGACATTTCTCACTTTGTGAAACCCAATTTGACAGTTACCTTAATACTAAAGTCAGTCTTAATGAGATACATGCAATTAAAACCAAAGGAATCTTTGGGTACTGATATATTATTTATGATTTATTAAAAGCAAAGTCAGCCTCAAGCTATAGAGATCAGGCAGTGGTGGCTCTCACTTTTAATTCAAGCAGCCAGAAGTTAGGACTCAGGAAGAAGAGATAGACAGATCTCTCTGAGTTCAAGGCCACATAGGCATACACGAGAGTGAACCAGGCTAAAAGAGAATTATAGCTCACACCTTTAACCCCAACATTGGGAAAGCATATGACAGAAACAAGGTCTCAAGGAGTCTTCATTCTCCAGTCACACTGAGGAGAGGCAGCAGTTTGATCCTTGGTAAAGAGCTCATGCGTGGATCAGCCCTATTAGCCACAGTCAAAGCTAGAGGTAAGAAGTTAGTGACTGGCTGCTGTGCTTTTCTGATACTCAGCTTGAAGTCTGAACCCAAATATCAGTCTCTGGGTTGTTTTTATTTTTATTTTTTTTGTGTTACATCCTTGGAAGGCCTACAAGGGCACAAACAATTTTGCTGATAATATTAATAATCTAGAAGTGAAAAATATCTCTCACTAAAGAAGGAAACCCATTCTTCAGCAATATATTCTAGGGTTTTTTGCATTTCTTTCAAAAATTTAAAGTTTCAATGACCATAACTTGATGCCTTGATCAAAGTCCTAGGGACTTGTTTAGGGAACCGTTCAGCGATTCTACAAAGGGGACACAGCTTTGTGTTCATGGATGTATATTTTAGAAATTCTCCACGTAGTTTAATTGAAAGCATGCTTTGAATACTGGAAGAAGTCAGACTTCAACTGGTAGACACCATGTGAGAAAGAACCTGATACATAGACACAGACCAACAGTGAAGGCCAGCTTGCTAAAACTACCTTACACAACTTAACCAGCATCCTTGAGGCTGTCAGGATCCAGCTGAGAAGCAAAGCCCCAAGCGCCTTTCTTTCACAAAATATGTAAATAGCGGCAGGGGGTGGGTGGGGGGAGAGCTCAGAATCCCTCATCTCTAGACTCTTTGCTGATTCTAGGAGAGGGGGAGAGCAGGACCCTGGCAATTGCTATACTCACAGAGACAAAGACGGGCCAGGCAACTAGTGCCCATCCTTTTAGCTCAGTGGGTTAGGAGACAGATGTTAGAATGGCTCTGGGTGGGGGTGGGGGAGAAAGGAGGGGTAATCTGTTTTGTTGGCTTTATGTGGGGCTTCCCCAGATCCACCCTGCATCACGACGGCCCAGCCCTGCGCGCTGGGAGGACGCAGCAGGCAGCCGCAGTGGCCTCTGCGTCATGGGGCAGTGGGGAGGAGAGGCGGCTCCCAGCCTGCAGACCTGCCACGATCCTTGGAGCCGGGTGCCCGCCCGCAAGCACCTCCTCTCTCCCACCCCCGCAGGCTTTCGGGGGGCCACAGCACAGGCAGGCTGGGCACGTGGGAGCCTCCGTCACACACACACACACACACACACACACACACACACACACGAGCGCGCGCGCATGCACACACACAGACACATACATAACACAAACACACCAAAACACCGGCACGTACCCACGCACGCGCACACACACACACACACACACACACACACACACACACACACACACACACACACACACACACACACACACACACACACACACACAGGCTCCCCAGGAACCGCTCTCCAGCATCCCGTGCCATTTCCCTGGCAGGTACAGGCGCTCACGAGTTTCTTGCTGCAGGACAGCGACTCCTGAAATCAAGCCTGCCCTTGGCAAGCTGTTTCTGCTCCCCAGACAGCTCCTCTGCGGCCTCCAGCATCATCACCTGGATCCGACCGTTTCTCGACCTAGGAACGTGCAAACAGTAAGAGGTGCTGGCTCAAAACGCATCAGAGGTAATGCCACGCTCCGGGGCTGGGGCACCGCCAGGGGTAGGGTGGGGCTCTCTCTTAGCCACCTAGGAGTCAGGCGCCTGGAAGAACAGCAGGATGCATGGATGGAGCTCCAGAAGGACTCAGCATCGATCCTGGGATGGGAGGAGGAAGGGCAACGGGAAACGTGGAAGGGTAAAGCTGGTATCTGTGGACTTCCTCTGGCTCTGCGTCCTGCACCTGTGCAAACTCGGGTGGTGGGGGTCCGAGGTGGCACTTGTGCGGAGAAGCACGTGGATCAAAACGTGCATCCACCCTTCCTAACCTAGGTGGAAACTGCCTAGTGCACCCGAGGAAGCGGTTTCATTTCCAAATCAAGTTGGGGTTTGGAGGCCAGGGTTTGACAGGGGAAGTCCAAGAGGAAAGTTGGTGTCGGGGCAGGGATGCGCTCCCGAAGTAAATTGGAATCCAGTCCTCATAAGGGTGGGAGGTGAGGCCGGAGAGCAGGGAACCTCCCTCCCGAGGGCTTGCAGATCATTTGCCACAGCAGCACAGGCTGTCAAGGCAGTGTATTCGTGACCTGGATTCGATTCTCTCCCGCTCGACTCGAGGCATCCTGTGATGGGCTGTCCGAAAACTGGCCTTTAGGCATACACTGGGCACGTGGCTGCTGAAGAAAGCACAGCTTCAGGCGCCTCTGCGCATCCTGGAATTGGAGAGTTACAGAGAGGATAGCGGAAAGGATGGTGGCACTGGGATCTTAAGGAACTGCTGGGGAGGGACTGGGCATCCTTATGCCTTCTACGTAGTTCATCCACTTGGCTGGTCTGTGTGTGACAGCGCAGAAAATTTTGAATATAGGAATGTTGTACATTGGAGTGAAATCTGTACACTGTTAACTTGAGCACCAATCTTAAGTGAAGGAATGAAAATGAATACCATAGGGATACTTGGCAGGGATACCGGTGGGGTGGCAAAAGAGACCCGCCCGCTTTCAAGGGCTCCACGGGAGGGATTTATGTTAATTTTTTTTCAGTGAGCTGAGAAGTGGCCTTGAATGTGCTCGTTAACATAGCTAATCTGTCTTCTCCCTTTCATCCTCCACCCTAGTGGAGAAAGGCTGGAGTAAGATTGGGCGGGGCCTAGAGGCTAGCGTGGTGACGTAGTAGGTGTTTGGGTGCTTATGCAAATAAGACTGTAGCCATTGCCTCTGGTCCATCCTCCCTGCCTCTTCAGATCTTAAAGGTATCCCCATTCCTAGGTCTGAGTTCTTCCTTGCATACCTGAGGATGGCCAGGGGGAGGGAGAGGGGATGAAAAATTTGCTTTGGGTACTCCATTTAGGCTCCTTTTAAGTCTTTTCTGTAAAAGGATTTTTTTATGACTGCCAGTGCTTGTTCGCTTTCTGGAAAGCCAGGATCAGAGCAGTTCCATCAAGCTTCAAAGCCTGCATGCCCCATGTCATAATTATGTCTCATCAAATACAAACATAACTGCATCTTTCTCAACTTTTTTAGCCTGGAGTTGTTTACACAATTTATAAATATTTGATGGAATGAAGTTTCTTGTTTGTTCACAGACAATATGTGTATTCCTCTCACATTAACTCAGACGAGTTTTGTATCATCTTACCAAGTTTAAAATTAAATTAACTGACCCTCCAAGTGAAACTTTGAGTGCATTCCTGTTGTGTCGCTGGGAGAAAAGAAGTCAATGTCTCCGTGTTTATTACTAAAAGATATTTTACTCATTATCTAGTTGGCTTAAGAATCATTGTAAAATTCCAGTGTCTACAACCCAAGTTGTGGCTTTTAATGCAGTTTAAAAGGTTTTTTATACATGTTTCTGGAAGACAGGTGTTTTGTCATCTAATTAAAAATAAATAGGGAGTTTTAAAATTAGGTGATCTAGCTTTCTGGAGATAGGCAGGAGGCCATCTATAAATTACTGGAACATCTAAAAATAAATAAAAATAGATAAATAAAATAAAATTAATATAAATATAATAATATAAGTATATAAATAAATATAAATATATAAATAAACCAAAATAGATGAGCTTTATGGTTATAATCACACACTTACCCAGTCTTAACATGTGCATGACAAAAGATGTTTCTGTCTTTAAAATGTACAGAATAGGAGATACTTCAATGTTTCTTTAAACTCTGGTGTTATAAGCAGACAGTTTAAAAACATCCCCTTAGAATGGCAAAAGTAAAAGAGACATCCCTCCCCCCTGTGGTTATTACAATCTCCAGTTTTTTTCTTCTTCATTTATCATCCAACTTTTTGTTGAATATTATGTTAATTCTTTACCACTACATATTCATGATTGGATATAATAGTATATTAATATGCAGACTTGACTTTGCAGCGATTTTTGAGCAGATGGCATTATTTTAAAAATCCATAGGCATAGTGCAATGCATGGAAGATATCCAGTTTTCCATGGCCAGAATCTTTTGACTTATTCTTGGTTTATTAACAACATTAATCTTTTGCTGGTATTTAGTAATTCTTCATGAACTTCTTATGCTAAAATGTCAGTCATTATCACTTTCTCTGAGAATTACCCACCCTAACGATAGGAATTCAGCATAATTTTAAATGAACATTATCATTTGATACAGGAAAGAGAGAAATGCTTTAGCCTTGATGACCATGTTACTTACTACCTTTTGAGATTAATCCACCGAGTGGTCCCCTGAGTCTCACTGACTGTGATGTCTGAGTAGAATGCTGATCATGGAAGTTTTCTCATGCATCAGACTGGAAAAGATCACAAAGATGACTCAATGAATGGAAGGAGGCACAGACACTCTCAGATGGTGGGTGTGGTTGTGGAACACGAAAGAGCTTTATACAGAACAACTTGACAATGCGTTTCAGAATTATAAAAGTACTTTTGATCCATCAGTTTCACCACCAGGAGTTTTTTCTGCAGCTTCACAAATGAGTTGCATAAAAAGAGATGCAAAACAAGTAGTTGGGATTTTCTAATACAAATGATCATATACAACTTATGTGCATAAACACACAAGGAATGCTGAGTGGTTATTGAAATAAGTTTGGTATGTTAAGATGAAAAGCGTTTTTGTGTTTTAACTTCAAAAACAAAAGAAATACAGACTCAGAATTAAATAGTTGTATGAAAATAAACAGATTGTAAAAGTGAAAAGATCAAATGAGAGCCCTTGGTAGAATAGTATTCAGACACCAATATATCAAGTTAATGAACTACAAAAATCAAAAGATATTTAGCCTTTTTACTGTTGCTTTCAAATTTGTAAGGGATTTAATCTTTCAATAATTTTTCATCATTTGTTTTATTTTTGAGATAATAATTACATTTCCCCTTCTTTTTCCTTTCTCAAACCTTGCTATATAGAACTCTTTGCTCTCTTTCAAATTCATAGCCTTATTTCTTTCATTAACTATTGTTACATATATGCATATCAGTCTACACAATATAACTTGAATGTATGTTTTCATGGTTCACCATTTGGTATCAGAAAATCAAATGATGAGATCTCCCATGGGGAAGACTGTTCCTTTTGCTCTACTCACTTTTAGCTTTCCTTAGATGTCTATAGATTTTGTGTAGGATTGAGATCCCATAGGCTTTTATTTTATTTTCTCTCATTTGCAGCAGAGAACATTAAGGAAACTGACTTTAAATAAAAATTAAAAGTGTAGAACTCAGTCCCAATGAATACATCTATAAAACACTCTATGCTATGTCCATAATATTTCTTTCTATGTTTTCTTTATGCTTGGTTTGTTAGATATAAGACTTTTTAGGCTGTTTACATGGTGGAAAATCTTTCTTTTTTCCTCAATTATGGTGTGTAGTTTTGCTGGGTATATTAGTTTAGGCTGACTGTCATAGTCCTTTAGGATTTGCAAAGCATAACTGCAGGCTTTTCTGACTTTTGAAGTTTCCATGAAGAAATCAGCTGCTATTACCATGGGGTTTCCTTTATATATGGCTTGTAAGTTTAAAACTTTTTGTAGTTTTGAATACATTTTTTCTTTGCTGTATACCTAGTGCTTTAACTATAATATACCAGGGAGATTTTCTTTTCTAGTCCTGTCTATTTGGTGTTTTGTTTGCTTCTGATATCTGTATGGGAATGTCTTTCCTAAGTTTGTGGAAGTTTTCATTTATGCTCTTTTGAAGATCTGGTCTATGGCATTGCCTTGGGATTCTTCTCCTTCATCTATACCTGTAATTTATGGGGTTGGTTTTTACATGGTGTCTCACATTCCCTGTGTGTTACTTTCCTGTGTTTCCTTACATTTTTTCATGTTCCTTGCTTTTTTATTTTTGATCTTCTGTAGTAGCCATTTGTAGTAGTCCCATGTTGCAGTGCCAGTCTGTAGTAGTAGTAGTAGTAGTAGTAGTAGTAGTAGTAGTAGTAGTGGTAGTAGTAGTAAGCTGTCTTTAGTAGTCCTACTTTGCAATGCCAGTCTGTATTATCCTTTCTTTTGGGGGCTTCAGTTGGATTTAGCCGACTTTCCTGAAAGAGGGAATTTGCATTGAGAAATGGCAGGTAAAGATACTAAGGAAAAGATTGAGACTCAGAATAGTATCAGGAGGGCAATCTAGTGAATACTGGATGCACCAAGTTTATTCTTTAACTTTCTTATATACCCCAATCAAAAAGGGGAAAATGGCAAAAGACTTCTTTATCCTGATACAAAGGAAGAAATAGACTTTCTTAAGTCTCTAAACATTTAGTAACCATGCCTTAGACTAAATCTCTTGTATATCTGGCCTTGAGGATTAAGAGTAGCTATACCTCATACTAGGCCTGTTGTTATTTAGATAAGACACTCATAGTTAAAAACAAACATTCTATAGTAGCCACACCTTAGACCTGTAGGGTCTTAGGACTTTCATCTTGGAAGAGTAAGGATAGCTTTGAACTCTCTGACCATAAACCGAGATGAAATGAAGCTGTTTTTTTTTTCAGTTTAGGTAGGTCCCTCTACCTTTCCCTCCCCTCCTCCCGTGACCTCCCTCCAACCCCCCCATTATCCCCTCATTTCCCCAGGGAGGGTGAGGCCCTCCATGGGGGTGTCCATAGTCTGTCATTTCATACAGGGCAGGGCCTAGAACCTCCCCCAAGAGTTCAGGGTGAGAGTGCATCTCACATTGGTGGATGGGAGTCCAAACTCCGTGTGTGTACTCGGGATGAGTACTGATCTACTGCCCAAGGCTCAATAGATTACCTAGGCCTCCTCACTGACACCCACATTCAGGGGGGGTCTTGATCAGTCCCATGCTGGATTCCCAGGCTGATGCCTGGGATTCAAGAGTTAACCTTTGTCAGGTCAGCTGTTTCTGGGGGTTAAACCAGCCCAGTCTTAATCCCTTTGGTCATCAGTCCTCCCTCTCTGTTACTGGCTTTCTTGAGTTCAGCTCAGTACTTAAATGAGGGAGTCTGCCTCTTCTTGGATCAGCCACTGAATGAAGTTTCTGTTTCCCAGACTCTCTGGCCATGGCCATTGTAGGCTGGCACTCCCCAGATCTATGTCTAAAATCCATATATGAGAGAGTACATGCCATGTTTCTCTTTTTGTGACTATGTTACCTCACTCAGGATGGTTTCTTCTAGTGTCATCCATTTGCCTGCAAATCTCAGGATTCCATTGTTTTTGTCTGCTGAAGAGTACTCCATTGTGTAAATGTACCATATTTTCTCTATCCACTCTTCGGTTGAGGGACATGTAGGTTGCTTCCAAGATCTGGCTATTACAAATAATGCTGCTATGAACATAGTGGAACAGACATCCTTGTTGTATGAATGGGCATCTTTTGGATATATGCCTAAAAGTGGAGTTGCTGGATCTTGTGGTAGGTTTATTCCCATTTTTCTGAGGAATCTCCATACTGATTTCCAAAGTGGCTGAACCAGTTGGCACTCCCTCCAGCAATGGAGGAGTGTTCCCCTTTCACCACATCCTTTCCAGCATAAATTGTTGTTGATGTTTTTGATTTTAGCCATTCTGACAGGAGTGAGATGGTATCTCAGAATTGTTTTGATTTGCATTTCCCGGATGGCTAATGATGTTGAGCACTTTCTCAAGTGCCTCTCAGCTATTTTAGACTCCTCTGTTGAAAATTCTCTATTTAGTTCTGCAGCCCACTTTTTAATTGGATCCTCTGGTGTTTTGGAGACTTGCTTCTTGAGTTCTTTGTAAATTTTGGAGATCAACCCTCTGTCAGATGTGGGGTTAGTGAATATTTTTTCCCAGGCTTGTCACTATTGTAGCTCACAGGATTCACAGCTGGGCATGCTTAGTGATTACTTTCCCCTTTGATAGTGTGAGTAGCACTCCTAGTTCTGTGGAAGCTAACTAGTAGAGATAAAGTTTCCAGGTGTATACCAGCTTAATTTTGCCACGTTCAATGAGTCTAGTGTTTGGTGTCTTCTGCAGTAGGATCTGATTGCCAAGTTCTGGGGCAGGGGTAATCAGAAGCAACCGTATTAGTTTGTAATGTTTTTGGGGGGATGGATGGTCTAAGATACCTCACTAGCTAACAACTCCAAATGAGAAACCCATTCCCAGCACTGGCCTTTTCATTTGCTGGATTTGCCTAATGGGTCATTGTTGCCCAGTTGTAGAGTGACTCTATTTTAATTATTTTTATTTATGGGTGTGGAGCTTTTACAGTAGTTGCTTTCCATATGTCTTTTTGAAGGGGTATTTAATACTATGTATCCCTCTCAAGGCACCCTCCTGTACTTTCTCCTCTTTTTCCGATCCAATTTACCACCATGATTCTCTTTTAATCATTTATACCAATATACCAGTGTATTTTACCTCCACTCCATTAAAAGCCCCACCCAGTAACCTCTTAGTGACATTCTGATCTCGATCCTAAGTGTTTCAGATAGGGATAGCACTTTCCCCTATTAATGCCTACTATTGTTTCATGGTGTGATCGTAGTAGTTTAATTATTCACTCACTTAGGCACATATGCATGATTTCTGACTTGGTTTCCAATGTGGGTAAATAATTGCTGCTAACATTTTATATAAGTTTTGTTAAGTTTTTATTTCTCTGGTGTGTACAACTTCCTGCACTCGGTGCTCAATCACTGCTAGGTTCAGACATATTTGAATAGTTTTATTCATTGTAGATATATCCTTTTATGTCATCATCTATAATGTGTAATATAGCCAAGTTTCTTCACAAATTCTCCAGTATTTGATTCTAATATTTTTAATAGTGAGTTATGCTGATAGTGTATATATTTAGTAAAGTATAGATTATGATTTTGGGATTGTCACTTGTAAAATATATTCCCCACCTTTTGATGTGTCATTTGGTTATCTTCTTGCTGAATGCAACAGATATGTGGGGATAAAAATCACAAAAGAAACTTTAGATTCAAGTCTGCATAGATATAATATTTTATATTATTTGTCAACATCATATATTTAGCATTTTATAAATTTCTCAATGTGTTGCCTTTTGTAATTATTTCACAACATTAGAACAAACAGCAAATTCTGCTATTATTCCTGAGCTTTGTAATAAGGCCCAGCTTTTCTTCAGATAGTTTGTACTTTATATTCTATTTTAGAATTAGGAAGTACATTTAACTGAATCCAGGATGAATTTCAAATTCAACACTCAGACTAATATTTAAAGAAAGCTGTAGCCAGTAAAAGTTTAACTTGTTAAAATTTAAGTTTCTTAATACAGATTTGTGGGTGTTCTAGTGCATTATGAGCATAAAGCTTTTGGAAAATGCGAAAGCGTAGCTAGTGCTGGTTGGCTTGTCAGAACCATCCCTTGTCACCGTGCAGCCAATTTTTTGAGACTTGTATCTCAGTCTAGTGCAGTCAAGTCTATAGTTCTATGCTTGGTATGTCCAAGATGCACATGTCTCTGTCTGCAATGTGTCTGCAGATTTTCATTTTAAGTGTTGATTAAAACATATCTCAGAGGGGCTGTAATAGTTTGGAACTGAGAATTCCTGAAATAGGAGGCAAAAAATTACAAAGTATTGAAGCAATTCTGCAATGAAAATATTAGTGTGACCTGGGAAAGAAAAGGAAGATGAAGGAGATGGAGGAGACAGAGGAGACTGAGGGGAGGAGGCTGAGGCTGAGGCGGAGGCGGAGGAGACGGAGACTGAGAGCATAGAGAAGAACTAACATCAAAATCATGGGAAAAATGAAATAAAAGGACAGTTTTTTTTTCAAGACAGGGTTTCTCTGTATTGTTTTGGAAGCTGAAGGACAGTTGATTTTTAAAAAGCCTTTGGAATATCAACCATTACTTTATGCCATTAGGATTGGTGAAATTGCAAAAATCCTTGCAAAATATGGCTTCCTGAAGCCAAAGCAGCAAATAATTTAACTAAGTGTATATAAATCAGATGAAATTCTAATATATAGATTGAAAAATAATTCACAGTTTCAGATGGCTCTATATTTAATACAGATTGCCAAATACTTAAAACAGATACAATAGTGATCCTATACATTTTTCTTTGAAAAAATAAAAGGAATAACATGCCAAAGTTCCTTTTATAAAAACATTAACATTAAAAAATATATAAGAGAAACATTTCATGCGTACTCTTAAAATATCTGTAAAAAAGATTCAGTGTGTGTGGGGGTGTGTGTGATGGTCACAATTTACCCTAAGGAGAAGCTCTGATGAGGTGAGGTAACCACACTTTTATCTGTTTATGTAAGGACAGGACTTGGAGTGTAGTAGGGATTATTCTGTTTGAGACAGTTACTGGGCATGATTTTTCCTCCTGCTGAGTGGCCTTAAATCCAACTACGCAGGAGTTGGTTACCCCATAGCACCTTATGTTGTTGTGGTCCATGGGTATTGCAGCTGGGTAAGACTTTTAATCACTTTCCCCAAAAAGGTATCTTGAGTAACGTTTTCTGAAACTGTGGAAGCTTAGACTACAAGGAAAGAGACTTTTGGGTCAGATACAGCTAAAGTCATCTGAGTCTTGTCTTGTAAGTGTGTGGTATCTTCAGCTTAGGGGCCTGTCCTCCACCCTAAGAGGCAACCACTGGTACCATTGGTGTCTATATTATTTTGAGAATTACTTGGACTACCCTGATCTGATAGGCAGTTCCTTGTGCCTGAACACAAGGCAGAGATCAATAGATCCTAGGGAATTCAATCCCAAGTGATAAATCTACATTATGGTTCCTGTATTTATGCCTTAGTGAACATCACAGGAAAGGGGACAGAAATATTTTAAGAGCCAGAATACTGGGGCATTCAGCATGAAACAGTCTTTCCTTGAAATAGTTTCATAAATAAGTTGGAACAAAGGCAATGTCAATAGATATATTAGCATAGGAGTAGCTAGATTTGGTGGGGTCTCATCTTTATACAAGGAACTACAGACAACTAATGACTGCCAGAGGAGAATCAGCTTCTCTCATGGATTATCTCCCTTACTGGTGATCAAATACAGAGACGCCAGCCTTGAAACCATATACACAACAACAAAAACAACAAACTCTG